AACGATCCTGTCAGCAAAGAAAAGCCTTCCTTTTGTCTTTATTCAAATTCCATTGAATACTGCTGTCATATATGGTCTGATACCCTCGCTGTTCATCTCAAGGTCCACGACAAAATCCAGAGACGGATATGCAATGTGATAGGTCCTAATCTGGCATCTCGTTTACAGTCACTCTCTCACAGATGTCATGTGGCTTCCCTCTTTCTTTTCTACATGTATTTTCATGGTAACTCCTCTGACAAGCTACTTCCACTGGTACCCCAAATGAACTTAAGCGTGCTACTAGGTTGGCATCTCGGTCCCACCCTTTCATTGTCGAAATGTTTAAATGTCTCTTCTACTCTAACAGCTCCTTATATCGCACTTCCCGTCAGTGCAACTCTCTTCCTCTTACTTGCTTCAAATATTGAAATGTAATGTCAATCGACATCTTCTGATGCCTTGATTCTGATCCCCCCGTCCTTCTATATATCCTTTCCTCAAACACCCCTCTTTACTCTTGCTCTCTACCCTCTGTAACCCCTTGCGTGCTAGTGGCACTCATGCCTTGCTTGGGCTGATATGCTTAAATATATATATATATATATATATATATATATATATATATATATATATATATATATATATAAAAAAATGAAATTCAGATATACCCTATCTGTATGGCTATTTCGCTCCGTTGACAAGCTCCGGAAGGATATTTTTCTTGCGGAGTGAAATGGCCATACAGATGGGGTATTTCTAATTTCATTATATGTAATTTATTTATGCAGGGTCTGTAATAAATACATTGAGCTGTCTTTTAGGGATCAGTTTTAATATTTTATACTCTTAGGATTCGCTTGGATTACTTATCCATGGATATTTACACACACACACACACACACACACATATATATATATATATATATATATATATATATATATATGTGCAAAGACTAAAGGAGAACTTTTCTTAGTCGACGCGCCAAGTCTCCTGATAGAACCTATCATCTAATTCTTATTTTATTTAGTACTGCTCAGTTATTCATCACTAGTTTTTACTGAAAAGTATTAAATAACTGAATACTAAATGAAAATAAGAACTAGACGAGATATCGCGAGACATGATCAGTGAGTAACGTATAGTCCCGTAGATTAAATAAAGTGTTCCATTCAGAATTCCCTGTAGAAATTCAAACAAAAATTGACTGTCAACTTGTTGTGTTGATTCTTCACAACCTCTCTCTCTCTCTCTCTCTCTCTCTCTCTCTCTCTATATATATATATATATATATATATATATATATATATATATATATATATATATACTGGGTGTGACAGGAAAATTTTCCAAATCGTGTAACAGCATAATTATCGATCCTACACAATGTTTACTATCTTAAAAGAAACGCTAAACTAATTGAGTTTATTTTTCCAGGTTTTCAGATGACATTTATCCATCTTGACACCATTTGTTGTAAGAATCACTGAATTCCCTTTGAGTTATTCAGATTAAAAAGGAGAACAGATTAAAATCGTTTCGACCCCACTGTCTTCCCAACTGAGCAATGGGGAGAGGAAAAAGATCATTCAGGCTTACAGTAATGGTACCAACATTCATACTCTGGCTTACATCTTCAAAGTCCATTCAAGAAGAAAGTGGTGAATAAGTCTAAAAAGAAAGAAGAGTAGAGAGGAAACTTGGATCAGGAGATCACAACAGCAAGAGGGATCATCATTTCAACTTAGAGCTAAAGAGATCAATTAGAAAAGATCCAACTCAATCCATAAGACGTTTGGCACGTGAAAGAGATTTTTTAGCTATGACAATTCAAAAAGCAATGGAATAAATCTTGAAAATGAAATCATATATGAAACGTATGAGGCACCTTGTTACTCCAGGACAGAAAGCTAGAAGGTTAGAGAGTGCGAAGATCATCTTGAATAATGTGGAAAACGATCCTGAAATAATATATTTGCCACACTTTATCATTACAAGAGTCAGATCAGACCAAAAATGGAGTGTTGCTGCCAAATCTTGTCTGGAGTTGCACAATCCTCATAATCCACCCTTCATAGAGTCCTTCTGCCATATTTCATCTTTACAAGAGTTAGATTAGACCAACAATGGTGTATTGCTGTCATATCTGGACTGGAGTTGACCAATTCTCCCTTTCCAGACTTCACAGACTTCTAAAACGTTTGCTCGGTTTTGGATTATTTCCCACCCTAAAACTACTTTCCCACAGGCGCGCCTCTCGCCACTCGATCGCTATTTCCATAGAAAATGCCCTGACAATCTACATTCCCTACTTACACTTGTTCAGAACTTTACAGCTAAAACCCGCTACGCTTGTACAGATGGGCAAATAATCCTCTATCTAAGAGACGCTGCTTTGGGGAACAAACACGCGAGAGGGTGCTTCAGCGGCCATTAGAACATTTATTACTCCAAGTCCAGGGTCAACCGTTAGCTATGCTCATAATGCTCACCTCCTCTTACAGCCTTAAACAACCTCATTCAGTAAGCCTCTATCTTGAGTGTCTCTTGGGTCTTTGGATAACAGCGTCGGAATAAGGTAATATGAAGTAAGATGATGAAGGATGTGGACCAAAAAAGAGTTAAAAAAAAAGAAATTAATAAAAAGAGGAGGAGGAGATGACAGACGTGGGGCGATGGAGGAATTTCCCATGAAGAAGTAAAAGGAGATGAATTAGAAAAAGGAGGAGGGCCCATTGAGAAAGAAAGGATGGAGAAGGAAGAGGGAGAACCAAGAAGGAAGAGGCGAAGCCAAGAAGAAAAGGAAAACAAAGAAGGAACAGTGGGGAGGGAGGAAAGTGGAGCAAAAGTTACGGGGCAGGAGGAGCCAAAATACGTGGGGAAGAGGAGGAAATTTAAAAAAAAAGATAAAGGCAGAGAGGCCCTAAAAAGAAAGAAAAGATGAAGTGGGCATAGGGGAAGAAGAAACAAAAACAACGAAGCAGTAGGAGGAGGAGGGAAAAGAAGGGATACATAAGAAGAAGGGAGGAAGTAGTAGGAGGAAGCGGATTCGAGAAGAATGAAAAAAGTTACTAGAGGCGGAAGGAGGAGGAGAAGTATACAAGAACAACAACAACAGCAGTAAGAAGTAAAGATGAGGATTAGGAGGAGGAGATTTGGTGTAGGAAATAGGAGGAGGAAGAGAATTTCTATAAAAAGTGTTAGACGCAGTAGGAGGAGAAGAAGTATTGACGAAAAAACAAGAAAGAAACAAGTAGAATAAGACAATAAGAAGAGGAGAAGTAGGAGGAGGACATGAAGGAATACTAAAGGCAAAATAAGGAAGTAGGAGGGGATAGAGAAATTTAGTAGAAAAGTAGTATCAGAAGCAGAAGGAGAAGTCTACAAGGAGAAAACCATAAGGAGGAGAAGGACGAATATTAAAGGCAAATTGAGGAAGTAGGAGGAGGAAGAGTAATTTAAAAAAGGTGTTTTAGATGCTGAAGGAGGAGGAGAAGTTTACAAGAAGAAATAAGGAAGGAGAAGATGACGATAAGAACAAGGAGGAGAGAAATGAGAGGAATAAACAAGGTGAGGAAGTAGGAGGAATTTATAAAAGAGGTATTAGAAGCAAGAGGAGGAGGAATAGACAAGTAGCAAAAAAGAAGGAAAGAGAAGACGATATAAAGGAGTAGGAGTAGGAGGAGGCTTTCATTCCAAGTAGTAGTTGGAGGAAAAGAGGAGATAGAGTTAAAAAAAAACGGTGAATATCATAAAAATGATTGAGAAATAAATTGAGGCCGATGAAGGAGAAATAAGTCGGGGCAATCGAGCGAATTAGCCTTATTTTTCAATGTCGCGCCATCTTATCTAACAAGACGCTCTCTTTGTCGACCGTTGACTCCTGAACCTTAACCTGATATTCTGACTCTATCATGTGTCACCTGTTAAACCACGATGTTCACACTACCACTTCTCTTAGATACCCAAATATTGCCGTTCTTTTTTGACGTTTTTTTTTTGTGTGTGTAAGTGGGGGGGAGGAATGTGGTTGTTAATTACATTCGGGTTATCAAAGCCATTGTTTACATTTAGAGAACAGTAAACGGCACTCGAATAGTACCTGTGTCTTGTTAACATGATACGAAAGGGAAAGAAAGAAAGAAAGAAAGAAAGAAAGAAAGAAAGAAAGAAAGAAAGAAAACAGATAAAAATAAATTAAAAGGAACAAGCGATACTCTCACTATACTGGTTTCGGCCGGTAGACTTTCCGTCCTTCCTAGTTTTATGCGTGGGGACATATTGAAATCATTTCAAGAAATATTGCGCCCATTCTATGGACACATACGAACAAACTAATAAAAATAGTAGTGAACAGCAGTAGATAGATAGATAGATAGATAGATAGATAGATAGATAGATAGATAGATAGATAGATAGATAGATGTGGGTAAAAATTAGATAGATAGATAGATAGATAGATATGGACAAAATTGCATAGATAGATAGATAGATAGATAGATAGATAGATAGATAGATAGATAGATAGATAGATTGAAAACGTTGCCATATCTGGTCAAGTGCCTCCGCTATTCATCTCGAGGTTCTTGACAAAATTCAAAGAATTATCTGCAATGTAATCGATCCTAACCTGGCATCTCGACATCAGTCACTTTCTCACCGACGTGAAGTGGCTTCCCTCTGTCTTTTCTACAATGTTTTACATGGCTACTGCTCTGACGAGCTTTTTTTCCCTAGTGCTCGGACTATGTCAGTTTAAGCGTGCAGCTAGATCGACATTTAGGTCCCACCATTTTACTGTGGAACTCCCTTCTGTTTCCTTGCTTCCCTTTTAACTACAATCTTCAGTCGCCATCTTCTATCTTTTCGAACCCCGTTCAGCTTTTATCCTTTCCTCGGTAATCCATATACCTAGTCTCTCTCCTTCACTTTCCGTAAAGCCCTGCGTACTAATGGCATTCCCGCCTTGCATGGGGTTAAATGGTTAAAAAAAAGTAGGAAAACGATAGATAGATAGATAGATAGATAGATAGATAGATAGATAGATAGATAGATATGATTAGAATGAGATAGATAGGTATGAAAAGAATGAGATAGAGATAGATAGATAGATAGATAGATAGATAGATAGATAGATAGATATTAATAGAATGAGATAGATAGGTATGAATAGAATGAGATAGATAGATAGATAGATAGATAGATAGATAGATAGATAGATAGATAGATATGAATAGAATGAGATAGATAGGTATGAATAGAATGAGATGGATAGATAGATAGATAGATATGAATAGAATGAGATAGGTATGAATAGAATGAGATAGATAGATAGATAGATAGATATGAATAGAATGAGATAGGTATGAATAGAATGAGATAGATAGATAGATAGATAGATAGATAGATAGATAGATAGATAGATAGATAGATGAATGAATGAATGAATGAATGAACAGAGTGATTTGAGCTTCTATTCCAACACATCTCTTGGATTTCTTTTTCGTTTACTAACACGACGTTTTCAAATATATATAACTGCAGATGTCAAGTCAAAGGTAATGTACAACAGTTCCAAATGTAAATCTCTTTCTTGGGGTTTAATTTCCTTGGCATATCTTGGTTTTATTTGGTTCAAATCCCATATATATCACCAATTCCGACCTTGTACCATATACATCATCAAGCCAATGGGATTTACTATTTCTCCATCTTCCCAACGTTCCTTTCCTGCCTTCTAAATCCTAAAGAACACCTTATCTCCAGCTTTTCAATATTTTATAGTTAATTTCGTACTATGCCAACTTTTCTTTTTAAGTAGTAATTTGTCAAACACCGATTTAATCTTGTTGGCATTAAGTATTTATCAAACATCTATCTCCTTGAACCCCGTTCAGCTTTTATCCTTTCCTCGGTAACAACTATACCCAGTCTTTTCTCTCTCTTACACTCTCTGTAATCCACTGCGTACTAGTGGCATTCTAGCTTTGCTTATGGTGAAATGATGAAAAAAAAAAAGAAAAACGATCAAAATTGGCGATGTAATAAGCGATTAAAACAATACGATTTATTATTTCACCATCTTCCCAACGTTCCTTTTCTGCTCTGTAAGTCTTGAAGAACACCTGCTTTAAAAGATTTTCTACTTAATTACTTACTATGCCAACTTTTATTTTTCTTCCAGCTAGTAATTTGTCTAACATCGATTTAATTTTGCTGGCAAACATTAGTTCCGCTGGTGAACTCATCGATGCAGTATTAGGTTTAGGGGTTAGTCTATAAATTCTTAAAACCTGTTGGCGCATTACATCTTCTGTTTCCTACCTGTTTGATTTATTTAACGCCCTTTTAAACGTATCAGCAAAAAGTTCAACCTCACCATTTCAACCTGGGTGATATGGCGGTGTATTATTTGTTGACTTGCATCGTATTGAAAAGAATGTTTGAAAGTCACTCGATGTAAATTGTGTGCCATTATCCGACACAATAGTATCTGGAACTTCCATATTTACAGTTACAGTGAAAGTAGGTCTTCTAGACTTAATTATTTCAGGCCATTTTGAAAAACTGTCGCCCAAGTAATACGCGCCATTTAAAGGTAGCGTGTAATCACCAGCCAACCCAGACTAAGGTATATCAGTATTAGACCAGGGTTCATAATTTACAGGTGGTAATTTTGCCGCTAGAGCACAACCTCTGCATGACTTAATCCAATTTTTAATATCCTTGTCCATTATAAGCCAATATACGTAATTTCTCGGTGAAGCGGCTCGGATTGAGGAATCGGAGAGCCGAGTTCAAATTCCAGTCGAATCCATTACATTCACTTATGTGCTAATACCCTTGGGAAAGGTATGAATCCTCTTCTCCCTCTCCCTCTCCCCCTCACCAACCAGCTATTAAAATTACTATGGTAACGGCTAGAGCAATTGCTCTAGACGTTACCATAGCAATTTTAATTTTAATAATGAATATGCTTATAAAACGCGTAAATTTCAGGAATTAGTTATTCCAATAAAAAATTTTGCTTGAAGATGGAACAGAGCATGGTACTTTAATTCAATTTAATTCAAATAATTATATTGAAGTTTTCGGCTCTTGTTTTGAAACATGAGAACTCTTATGCAGCGATGGAATCATATTTTTAAATAAATAATTATATTTATGCTCTACTTTTGTATCGAGCACTGTTTTTTTTTTAAATAATAACAAAAATACTAAAGAAGTTTGGATTATTTACCTAACGAGGTCTTTCCTATTTTCTATATATTTTCACACACACACACACACACACACACATACATATATATATATATATATATATATATATATGTCTACCTCGGTATGGTCTTATTTATGTATAAATTTACCTATATTGACAATCTCTGTTCATATCAATCTTTCTGTCTATCTCTATCAGTCTATTTTCTATATATTCTTATTTCCTTTGGGAAAGGTATGAATCTTCCTCTTTTCCCTCCAGCTATTCAGGACAGACTGGGTTCTATAGCCTTGGGTGGCAACCGGTCTACCACAGAAAGAAATCGGAACCTACAGCGGGAAATATTCTGCCTCGTCAGTCATGTATCGAAACATACATGATCGCCTACGCGTGTATCATGCATGGCACATATCTGACTGACCTAATTTCTCATAGGTAATTTCATTCATGACATTCCAGAATGTCCAACATGTAAAGCCTTTTCAGACACATTAATAGAGAAAAGGGTAATGAGGAGAGCACCTGCTAGCGATTGATATTGCATTTAAATTTTTGAAGATAAAAATTAGCTTGAAAATATGGAGCCGGAAGGGAGTTCCATAAGTAAGGCAGTAAAGCCACTAAGACACAAGGGTTTACTGGGTGTGGAAGAATTAAGAACAGAAACATTAATAATGAGCGGGAAGAGGAAAGAATAATCAGGAAGACAGGAGATAGCGATTAACATTGCATTCCAATTTTTGCAGATTAAAGTTGGCTGGAAAGCATGCAGCCGGAAGGGAGTGCCACAAGCAAAAAAAAAAAGAAAATGTTAGCATAGAATTTACGACTACATCTATCCAGCTCAGCTGTAAATTAATGAGATTTCGACGCCAGTCTAATATAGCGTTTAAATTCAAAAAGTATAGATACCCTACCGCAGAGCGATATTTATTCCGCATTATTTACAGAAATATGGCACAAGGCAAAAATGAAGAATGGGAAAAAAGGATTGTCTTCCACTGTCTTAACATTAAACTTAACTAGCCACAAACACTGACCCAAACAGACTACAATATTACTTACATCAAAACAACGAATTCTTACTTACCTTTCTTACTACATCCACCATAATACCTCATTGTCTTTATGAAAGTCCTAACTAGTCTCCATATGTACAATTCATTGTCTGTGGGGGAAGGGGAATGAAATGACATTTTTAAAAATCTCAACCCCAGTGACTATTTACTATAGCGAAGAGCGATATCTATTTCCGCTTCAAATGCAGAAAATATGACACAAGGTCAAAAATGGGGAATGGCGAAAGTGACGTTTTTTTCTGTCTTAAATTTAAACTTAGTTAGACACAAACACTGACTCCAACATACAAACAATATTCCTAACACTAAAAGAAAACATTCTTTCTTACCATTCTTACTACATCCACCATAATACCTAATTGTCTCTATGAAAATCCTAAGTATTACCCATATGTACAATTCATTGTCTGTGGAGGAGATGGGAATAAAACAATGATTTAAGAAACTAGCCTTAATGAGTATTTACAATATGAATACAAATCTATTTACTAGAAACTAAATAATTTAGACAAAATCATTTTAGTAATAACCCCCCACCACCACCACCACCAACCCCAATCCTTAAATATGGCAGAAACGTCAACTGAACGAAATCAATGCGAGAATTTAATAATATAAGACATTTATTTATCCCATGCACTCACACAAACACACACACATTCAGACACAACAAATACGAAAAACACATCCGAAATGAAAGGCGCCCCGCATCCACCAGTGAACTGACATCACTGACCACCTAACAAAGGAGGGCATGAGGACTCAAATCAAAGAAAATTGGGGACAGAAATGAAAGGGGCCAATGAGCATACATACCCTAGCTAAGTTAACTGAAATAAAGAAACTAAAAGAATCAAAAAGAATCCTAAACTCTCTTCATCCGGGCGGGGTTATCCTATTTTCAACACAAGTAGAACAGTATCCTGATGCCTAACCGGATCAAAAGTGCCACTCTAAATCAGCCACTTTTACACGACACAAACGCGCAAGATTCACCCCCCTTTTGCCAAATTCTGATGAAGTGAGCCGCCGCCTTTCCGTCCTAATCTTGACTTTAAGCTGATGCTTAAAGTACAAGATATTACAATTTTTGGATACATTATGTACTAGTGAGTTAGCCCAAATGACTTGACTCACTTTATAGTCCACCAATAGAAGGTTAACCAATCAGAAGACGTAGAACATTCAATCCGTCGTGTATAAAGGCGGTCATTTTGTCTACTCTACCCGAATGTCCAGTCCAGCTTGTCAGGCGAAGAGAAACAGAAGGAAGTACTACGCTCTGCTACCTCTTACCAAAATATCCACTGCTAAACTGAACAAGGCTTTCCTACTGTCTTCGAAATATTCACTTCTAACCTCTGGATTCTATACTCGAAGACGACCGTCATCATGAACAACACAAGATTAGTTGGGAAGAAGTGAACTTCTCTCCTCCATAGAATTCCTTCTGGCGTGTCGTCCATATAGAAGAACTTACCCGGACAATTACCATGGAAGTATTTCTAGAAAAGACGCAGACAGGCAAACTTACGGCGGTGGGAAAGTGACTGAAGCCGAGCTACCAGATCAGGACCAATAATATTGCTGATTCTTCTTAGTATTTTATCAAGGAGCTCAAGTTAAATATCAGGGGTACCGGACCATATATGGCAGCAATATTCTAAGCATGGACGAATGATAGACTTATAGATATATAAGATAGATTCTGGAGAGAAAAATTGTCTCACAAGACACCGTGAGCCCACTTTCTTAGTAGTTGATCTATTATTATTGTTGTTGTTGGCGTGCTATGTTTCCTGTTTTGCATCCTGTACAGCCGGTCCCAAATTATAATTATCATTATTATTATTATTATTTGCACATGTTATATTTCCTGCTTTTTATTCTGTAGAGCCGCGTCCAAACTATGGTCCTTAGGAGAATTGTCATTTAATTGATAGCACTTTTCTTAGTGTATGTGATGTTCCTAGCAGGACGATCTTCTTAGCAACTTTTATGTTGATGTTGCTTGGAACACGTGATAGATTATTATTATTATTATTTGTTACATTTTCTGTTTTTTATCCTGTAGAGCCGGAAGTAGATTTGACAAGCGAGAAGTCCGGGAAAATAAACTGTTAGCATAGAACTTCCGGTTACATCTCGCCAACACAACTGTAAATTGATGAG